GACTCGACAGATCTGCGTCTGGGAAATACAAGCGATGCAACGTACAGCAACTCAGTTTCAGGGCCATCAAGTCGCCCAGCTGTCCCCGAGTCCCGTTTCAAGCTTTTCAGGATGGGCGGCAAGGGGCAGATGAACGAGAGCGAGCTCGAACTGGGAGACAAGCTGCAGGGGGACGTCCAGACCGAGATTGGCGCAACTCCGTCCTCGTGGAGGGACGTCGTGGCCGACCAGGACCGACACAGTTCGATGGAGTCGGGGATTCATGTGCACACAACGACGACGGTGGATTCGGAATCGGGTTATGTCCCACGGGGACGGAGATCTTCTCAAATGTGATGAAGTCGACGTGCAGTCGACACGGCATTCAGTGGTAATCATGCGGTTGGCAAGAGCATGGTTTGGCGTTTGGTGCTGAAAGGCGGCGGGTCTTGGGTTTTCATTTGTATGGCTGGGCGCCGACAGGAATGCTTCGCTTCTTGAGATACCACCTGACATTAGATATCGCTGGCGAGACCGTAGAAATGATGCATCTCATGGCGTAGGTATTCATTCGTATGGTGCCGTTCTATGTGCATATTTTCAGTGGGAATCGCGATGGATAGTGTTTGACGAGAGGATGATGGCCTTGCAGGGGGAAAGCCCTTGAAGCCGTATGGTCGATGTCAGGTTGTTGCAACAAGGTTTGGTTTGCTCGGTGACGAGGTTGCTTTGGGGTCTTGCTTTAGGGTCAAGGTCCGAGGCACCACAGCACAGCAGTACAGAAAGGCCCAGGCACCCGATCCAGGAGCACATTAAGGCAAGTGGCAGGGCCCGACACAGGGGGAAGGAGGTTCCTGGGGTGATTACCTAACACACACTGCACTGCGTTGCATCGTATCACGACATTGACACGCTTTTTGATGGGAACTTCGACCGAGCCGCAATTTGTGCATGAATCACACATCGCCGACAGCTTCATCCGCCGCCACGTGTCCCATTGTCAACTCGCCACCAATCGCCATGGCTGCCCCAGATCTGAGCCCGGATGAGGTCGCACGCAACCGCATCACCTCACACATGAACCGCGCCCACTCGCGGGAGCTCTCCCACTACCTCCGCCACTACGCCAACCTATCCTCGCGCGCCGCCTCCACGCCCTGGCTCAAGGACATCTCCCTCGACGCCATGACCATCGCTGCCGGCGGTCTCGGTGGCCGCGAGTTCGTCATCCCCTTCTCCCCGCCGCTCGCGTCCCTCGCCGACGCCCGCAGCCGCGTCATCGCCATGGACGCCGACGCCCGCAAGGCCCTCGGCATCCGCGATGTCTACGTCACGGCCTATGAGCCCCCGCGCGGCTTCGACATTGTCGTCTTCGCCGCCGTCGCCGTCTACTTCCTCAGCTACGCCACCCTCGCCTTCGTCATGCCCGGCACTCCCTTCTGGAGGGTCCTCCAGGCCGTCTTTCCCGGCGGGCCGCGCTCCTACCGCTGGCTCGTCAAGACCATCTTCTGGCCCGTCCTCGGCATCCACCTCGGTGAGGTGTGGTGGATGCACCGCTCCAGACTCGTGCCCCACGGCGTCGACGCCGGGAGCCTGCTCTGGTGGCAGTGGATCGGCACAACCTTCTTCGAGGGCGCGTGTGCCTTTATGCGCCTCGACAGTGTCGTCGCCGAGAAGCGAAAGGAAAAGGCTGCGGCGAGTCACTAAAGGGGGAAGTGGCATGGACTCAGAAGCAGCAGCATGAATTTCTTTCTACACCTCGCGTCATGCTGCTGCACGTGGTGTAGCACGACCAAGCCGTTGGCAGCTACGTCGCAGCAAGGCATTCATTCCTCTTTTCGCCCGACAGGCAGGAGGCATATTTGACATCACAAGTCACATTCAATGCATAGAAGATGGGAGTTTGGCGAACCCTTTCCATATTGTCTCATCTAGTCATACTGCTCATGAATCATCCATTCGTTCAGTCATTCAATCATCCCGTCATTCGTCGGATACGCTCAACGCCAACCCTGGGGGTATGCAATCCACCTCTCTACTCACTTCTCAAGTGAGGTCCAAATACTCGCCATCGTACTGTAACAGAGAGCCGAAGAATGCAGTCCTCGCTCGCTCGCCTTGCTTTCTCAAAGACACAATACACGGAGGACAAGTGTCAACTCCCAAGCATGCCCACCAAACGCCTCTCTTTAACATAAAAAGAAAATGTCATTTCTCTTCCTGCCACCCCATCAAGCTGGAGGGCTCTTAGGCAGTGGCTGCATTATTGACAATGTTGCCAAGGTACTTCTTGAAGGCGGCCGGGAGAGGGTGATCGCACGAGATATGCTGTTCCTCATAGCGAGGGACAGTAAGGAGTCTCGCGACATGCATCGGCAACCAGTTGCTGTGGCTTGGTTCGGTCGCATACACAATGCAGTCGACCAGAGCCGTAACAAAGCGGCTGACCTTGTCTACAAGGTCATGACAAGCCTTGCGCTCCTCAACGAGCTTTTCGCAACGCGAGGGACGCTCGACATAGGAGCGAGGACCACCCACGATGCTGAGACAGTCAGGCCTGAAGTTGAGACCATGCATGGCTAGGTCGAGGGCTTCAATTTCCATGTCTGTGATGGGAACCCAGCTCTCAACATTTTTCGTCGGCATGCGTGCTTGGACACACTGCGCGAGAGCCAGGCGGCGCGCCACGAGTTCGGGCGCCTCATTCGCGCTTTGGGGCACAATGGCAGTGAGTGCCTTCCACAGCTTTTCAATGACGCTGCGGCCCTCGTCGTAGATGCGCTGATGGTTGCGCTGTACAGTATTGTTCGTGCGTCCGTCTGAGGGCTTGGCCGCGCTGGGGTCAAACTTGTTGCACGGCATGCCTGCCGTGTGGCAACGGATGCACGAGTATGTGTTCTCTTGGCGGTGGCAGGCCTTTCTAGACTTCCTGCACATCTCGCACGACTGGCTGCCAATCTTGGTTCTTCGCTTTTTGGCAGGCTGCTCGATCCCAGGGCTCGTGCTTTCGCTGAGCATCGCGGGTGAAGTAGACACCGAGGTTTGCTCGGGCACGCTATCACTTACCACAGCGGATAGGCCGGGAAGGCTGCTCGAGAAGGTCGGAGAGAGCGGACTAGGAGCCGGCATGGCCGCGCCGGCATTGGCGGTACCAGTATCAGGTTCACCGCCCGACTCGCCAAAGAGGTTCTCAAAGTCGTCCTCATCGAAGAGGCTCTCAAATTCGGCCCCGCCGAAGAGGCTCTCAAATTCGCCCTCACCGAAGAGGCTCTCAAGCATGGCCACAGGGTCGACGTCTTGGCCTGGATTTTGGCCCGGGTTTTCAACCACCGGACCAGCAACTGTCACCGGAGTAGCAACCGCCGCAGAAGCGACCGGATTGTTAACCAGCCCTTCTGAGAGCACAGCTGGAATAGGTTGGCTTTCCCTATCGTTTTGTATACCAGCCTGACACCTGCGCCTGTAGGGTCTGCTGCGGCTTGTCTTGTTCGCTCGCCGAGACTCTTGACGTTGTGTCTGCACAGCTGCAACGAATTCGGCCCTGCGCCGCTGGTACGAATGGTCTTGGGCTTGGTTGCTCGTTGGGCCAAAGGGGAATGAAAGACCCTGTGCAGGGACATGCCAGAAGCTTGGCTGAGGTGCTATATTGCCCTGGGGTATCATCATGTTGCCTTGAGGCACCATGTTACCCTGGGACATAATAGTGTCTTGAAACACCATGCTGCCTTGGGGCATTATATGTTATCTTGGGGCAACATGTTACCATAGGGTATTGGCATGTTACCTTGGGCTATCATGTTGTCATAGGACATCGTCATGTTGCCCTGTGGTGCCATGTTGTTATAGGACATGGCCATGCTGCCTTGGGACGTGACTGGCCCTAAGCTATAGGCCTGAGATGGCGTAGAGGCAAATCCTGCATTAAGATGCGGGTTCATGCCCAGTGGAGTTATGTTGCCCTCTGGTGTGTAAGCGTTGGGATTGAATCCCCCCAGCGACGTGTTCCACCCTGCTGAATGACCAAGGCCGGTCAACTGTGTATTAGCGCCAGCCTGGTCATTGACCTCCCGGTACTGATTGCTGTTCATCTTGAGTCTACTGTTTCGTTATTAGTATGCAGTGCCATTTAGGTATGAAATGACTCTTTACCTTGGATTTGATGTCTTGGGATGAATGTCTTGGAGTTGATGTCTTTGACTTGAAGCGACGGTGTATGTAATTGAATAGGCGCTGGCTTCTCTGGGGCAAGCTACTAGGGGTGGTACGTAGAATGTGTGTTGAGAAGAAGCTCGAGGGCTTGTTATGTTTGACGGCTTCGTAAAAGGGAGTATCTGCGTTCGATGCTTGATGTGTACTGCCAGAAGACTGGATCGTGACTGACTGTAGCTGACAATGTGCTCAATGTGTACACGTACAGGGAATGGGGATATTCGTAGGAGTGCCGGGGGACACCAAGGCGGCCGCCCTTTAAGTATCCTGAGCAGAGCCATAAAGGTTGAGCATCAAGTTGGGATGCCATTGAGTGAAAAACTCATATTGGATGAAGATCTGATTGTTCTGGTTCCATGATAATGTTGATGGGACAGGTGGCGGTCCAGCCATGTCCATGGGAAAAAGTCATTCTGGCGCATGCAGCCTCCAAATGGTAGCTGAGGAGAGTTATCGAGGGGGCATGGCGCGGGCAGCTGTTTACGAAATTATGGTATGGACGCAAGACTTTCCAATGGCCATGGGAGGGGGGGGGAAAGAACTATCGTCATGGCCAGGACTGCCTGCCCGCAGAGGTCGGGGTGGGACTCGTCGAGAAGCCTTCTCCGACCAAGCAAAACGAGAAAGGGATCAAATCAGCAGAAAAACACAAATAACATTTGTAGACCTTGGCCCATGGCAGTCTCTTCTATCTCCGACTATGGACGATGGGACTATGAAGGATGCTGGGCCATCACTGGAGAGGCATTGCCAGCTGCTTTCAGGCGGGCAAAGGAAGGCGCTGGGCCGACCATTGAAGCCAAAACGACCTTCATGACGGAATCTGGACTCCCACAGGGTGTGCCAGAAAGCCATGCCATCAAATGGGCTGCAATGACTGAGACTGCACCGTACGTTGATGGCATCCGCCAAGAACACAGGACGCCTACAGCGACCATAGGGCTGAAGGCCCCTCTCGTAGGGCTGAAAGCATGTTCTGTCGGGCACTGGGCCCGCCCCAATTGGCTGTGATGGACATCCGTGGATACACTGTGCTTTGGGTTCTCCCTCACACACTGCTCCCCTCGTCTCTGTTCAAACGTCGTGTAAGTCAGCGGTGCCCCTAGGTACCTTAGTAAGGCACGTACAGCGTCTTCATTTCTGCATCTCTCATGCCTCATGTTCATGAATCAAATGTATGGGCGAGTATCATGGCAAAAGCCTATTATTTTTGGAGCACGCATCATTATAGGTACTTCGACAAAGTCTGACATGTTCCAAACCTCGGCCCACAGCTCTCGCTCGACTCCGTGCCTGGAATAAGGCATACCCTTGTTGGTCGTCGTGCGCCATAGACATATGTCCCGACGGCCATCTAGCCTGTTGGATGGGGGTGTCTGGGATCGGGCGTGTCGTCGTTGTTAGACCTACACCCTCCTACATGACAATAACCTTTGCGAACGAAACTGTGGCTAACGAAAGCTTTCAATCTTTGTATGGTGGAGACTCTGGGATCCCGGAAACTTTGGAGAGACCCCAATATTGACTTTCTCACCTCCATCCTTAAGGTGGGCACTACGTGGAACATAGCCAAAATGCATCGTAAACTAGCTTACCTTAATCCAACCCTGACGACATGACAAGGCTGCCTCCCGGCAGTTCATTGTTCTATGGTCCTCGGGTGCGCTCTAGGTTCATTGCTATGACCCGGCTGTGCCTCCGCAGCCGGGTTGGCTGGACGTCATTGAAACACAGACAGGTGAGAGTTTTTACGCAGAGACATGTCTGCCTTTGAAATCTGAGCTACATCTTTGCCTTGCCAACCCGCGCAAGTTGGGGAAGCGACACGACGAAGAAAAGATTCGTATTCCTTGCAGTTCAAATGGAGGCGAGGGATGGATGCTGACAACTGGCAGCAACTGTCGCGCAAACAGGAGCTGTACGCCCCGGGGCCCCTCACCCTGCCGAGGGCCGATGGTATGCGTCGCCTGACCTTCCGTTCGCAACCCATCCCCAAGCCCCTCGTCCTTCATCCTCACAATCTCGCAGTCCATTGCACGAGTCCTGGATCAATACAGTCACCAAAATGTCTTTCGTTCGACCTGCTGTCTGCAGGGCTTGTCAACAGGCAAAATTTCGTCCGTTTCGACCATTTCGAGGCTTCGCTACAGCGCACGGCAGTCAACAACCGCCGACTCCACCGCAGCCGCCGCCATCAGACAACTTCGTCAAGTTAGTCGAGGTCGGACCCCGCGATGGCCTCCAGAACGAGAAGAAGGCCATCCCGTTGGCGACCAAGATTGAATTGATCGAGAGGCTGGCCAAGACAGGCCTGACCACCATCGAGGCCGGCTCGTTTGTGTCGCCGAAATGGGTTCCCCAAGTACGTCGTCTCTGGAGCTGGTGATGAGGGGTAGCACGTTGCTAACGAGATGGGTCCAGATGGCCAATTCGAGCGAAATCATGGAGCACATTCTCACAAAAGCCATCTCTTCGCCCTCTCCACTACTTTACTCCTTCCTGGCGCCCAACGCCAAGGGTCTTCAGAACGCCACAGACCTGCTCGAGAAACACCCCGATGCTTTCTCATCCCTGCTCCGGCCACCCATCGACGTCTCGTCCAAGCCAGGCGTGGAGATTGCCGTGTTCGCGGCCGCTACCGAGTCGTTCTCTAAGAAGAACCTCAACTGCGACATCGCCACCTCGCTCGAACGTTTCCGCGAGGTCATCCAGAAGGCCAAGGCCAGCGGTGTGCGTGTGCGGGCCTATATCTCCGTCGTCCTGGGCTGTCCTTTTGAGGGCTACGATGTAGACCCTCACAAGGTCGCAGAGATTGCAACGGACCTGCTCGAGTCCGGTGCCGACGAGATCTCGCTCGGCGATACGACGGGCATGGGCACCGCGCCGAGGACCAAGGCCCTGCTCGACTGCATGCGGTCTGCGGGCATCCGTAACGAGGATCTGGCGATGCACTTTCACGACACGTACGGCCAGGCGCTGGTGAACACGGCCGTCTCGCTGGAGCATGGCATCAGAACCTTTGACAGCAGCATTGGAGGACTTGGTGGATGTCCCTACAGCCCTGGTGCGACGGGCAACGTGGCCACGGAGAACATGGTGTACTTCTTGAGCACGCTCGGCATGGAGACCGGTGTCGATCTGGATGCCGTGTCGGATATTGGAGCTTGGATCACGGGCGAGCTGGGCAAGTCAAATGAGAGCACGGTGGGCAAGGCGGTGCTTGGAGCGCGCTCCAGGGCGTAGATGGGCGAAGGAGACTTGATTTTTCATTAAAAAAAGATGGCAATTAAATCTGAACTCAATTCCGTCGCGG